AAACCTAACTTATTCCTAGTTTATCCAACTGTTTTATTTACAACTGTTACCTTTAACCCATGCATGCACCCCTAAAGTCACATTTGAACCTTACCAAATCAAAGACTGGGCAAGTCCAGTTTAAACATGTAGGGGTGAATGAGTTAAGCAGTGTATACCTGTACATGTTTGTGTTGCTGCATTTCCATGTGAAGTTGAAGCGAACTAGATGTAATAACACTGAACCAAGGGTCAGGACCCACGAGGGGCAGTCGCCAGGTACTGGCTGTAGGTCGGTGGTTTTTCTCTCCCTGGAACTCTGGCTTAAATGACCATAGCTTTCAATAGGACGTAAAACACAAACAAACCAAACCAAAACTGAACCAAGTGCAGTAGATACTGGCCGTAGATCGGTGGTTTTTCTCCCCCTGGGAACTCTGGCTTTCCTCAACCACCAAAACCTGGCACGTCTTTAAATGACCATAGCTGTCAATAGAACGTAAAACACAAACAAACCAAAACTGAACCAAGTGCAGTAGATACTGGCCGCAGATCGGTGGTTTTTCTCCCCCTGGGAACTCCTACTTTCCTCAACCACCAAAACCTGGCATGTCTTTAAAAGACCATAGCTGTCAATAGGACGTAAAACACAAACCAAACCAAAACTGAACCAAGTGCGGTAGATACATACACTTTGCTTTGTTTTTCTATTTTATTTGCAAAAAACTTCCTTCAGCATTTAATGATAGAATGCATAGTTCCCGACAAAGGAGGTGATAAGCCCGGAAATTTCCCCCAGAAACTCTACAAGTACTGTGTATTATGAACACATAGTAAACAGCAAGTGAACTTTGGTGACCCTGCATGTAAACACCAGGAAATTTGAGCTTAGAAATTGTTCATTGGAGTGAAAACAGATGTCATTGTGACCTAGTTTTAGCGCGTGACAAACCGTGTATTTAACAGTGTGTTTAGTTTGGTCACAACCTAGGGTGAAAAGACAAAAGAAGTATGGCCGAAAATGGCTTACACTGTATCACGGTCGCTTTCACGGACACATGGAGGCACAAACAACATGAATACTATATATGTAATGGTACTAATAAGGGGAGAGTACCAAAAATAATTCCCCAAACTACCACTTAACTCATTCACTGAAAATTCCAAAAAGAGGAATCATATTCATAAATATATACAGGATCTTACATGAGTTTCCAATTCATATGAAATTTATTAAACAAGTCAAAGAATTTGTCAGAGCTAAAATGAAATAGAAACGAGCGTAAGATACTTTTTATCACATAATCAAGATTTGTGGCACTTATTCGTGTAAAACAACATTTTTCATGAAAAAAGCCGCCTTTTTGACTCCAGTGCGTAGGTCTGTGACGTCATGTACTTGTCCTAGGCGTGACGTCACAATTGAAACAAATGAAACTTACAACCAATCACAGGGCTGATAGGTCATATTACATGGGTTAATACGCAAAAAGTATTACATGGGTATATTCAGTGGATAACACAGTCCATTATGTGATAAATAGTTATATTAGAGGAAGAATATTGATGAGTGTTCTTACAAAGGAAATTAGCAACCAACTGGGGCTCATCCCAGATAGTTATAGAACACACTGAAATCTCTGGCTTTTGCAAATGTCAGTACATACCCAAAACGGATCATGGTTTTAATTTACAAATCTTTGCTTGGTCCTCAAAAAAATGTCTTCTGATGCTATTTAAACTGTTTAGGACTGTATCAAATACTGCAAGAACTCCAAATATTTCAAAGCTATATCTCACATTTTATATATCATCATTACTGCCATTAATTGTCCTGAACAATCTCAGCCAAACCATCTTTCAAGTGAGTTCAGTTTCTTCAACCTACACAAGATGTGTGCCAAGTTGTCAAACTATTTAAGCAAAAAAGTAAAAAGTAAAAAGATGATGATGTACACCTGGCTTTATACAACTTTTAAGATTCCATAGTTTGGTTTGTTTGGTGTTTTACGTCCTATTTACAGCAATGGTCATTAAAGGGCGTGCCAGGTTTTGGTGGTGAAGGAAAGCCGGAGTATCAGGTGAAAAACCACTGACCTACGGCCAGTATCTGACGACTTCCCCACGTAGGTCTCGAACCCGCAAACCCAGTGAAGGAGGGCTAGTGGTAGCAGAATGTTAGACGCCTTATACCACTTGGCCACTGCGGACCCCCAAGATTCCATACATAGAGTGGCTTATTTTGGCTTATTTGAATATGTTTTACATTGAACAGCAGGATAGAGTTGTTACAAGCGACGTTAACTTTACACTCTACATCTGTTAACACAAGTCAAAGAAAAACAATCTGAACTTGTGCAAGTGGCTTCATGTTTTTGTCTTAGGATGCCCATACCACTGCCCAAAACTAAAACTAAGTGCTGGAAACTGGTTTTTCAGTATGACTATAGTTTTGATAAATTATTTCTGAAAAGAAAACAATTCCTTGTGGAACTTATATGAGAAATAATTAATACATATATATGTTGTTGTTTTTTTAAACCAACAGCAGTGTTCCTAGTGTTACCGGGATTCAAACCATCGGAATCTCATACCATCGCTCTAGCCAACCAAACTCTCTAATCAACAGAACTGTTCGGACCCGACTGTACTACAGTTACACCCAAACGGAAGTTAAGGGGAGGTTACTGTATTTAGGAAAATCCACAGTACAGTGGGACTGGGAACCTTAAGATAATTAATTAAAATCCTGATATTTATGCAATTTTTGTTTCAAATTTCAATAGCTCTGAAAATATTTGAGATCAAAAACGTTACCTACCATAATTGCCCCATTGAGCTCACAGTTTTCTAACAAACGAGGCCAGCTGTTGCCCATTGAGCTCACAGTTTTCTAACAACCTGCAGCCCAGCTGTGTATCTTCACACTGATCATTTAAACCCCAGAAACTAGACTCTTCCTTCTTCCAGGTGTTTTGTGATGCTTGTGCTATAAGTCCTACAATGAAGGTTTATGTTAACATGCCAAAAGTTTTGACCTGTAGTGTAAAGTATGTGCATTGTACAGAGTGTCATTTCAGGGAACAGCGGAGGAGTGTCTGATGGACAGATGGGGGTCACTGGTTTGATTTCTTTCAATGCACAAATACTTTATTCACTACTTCAGAGTACTTTCTTTCCCTTTAAGTTGTGGAGAACCCTTGGCGGGGTTAATACCGTTTACGAACCTCGACTATGATGGTCTTTAATTTGAGGGTGTTGGAGAAGGCGTGGTGTAAAAGATGTTGATGTGCATTTTACATAATATCCAATCTTGACTAGAGGGAATTTCACTTAAGCTCAGTTGGTAGAGTGTCTCACTGTTTTTGGTTGCTGGTTTCATCCCAGCAAAGACAACTTGTTCTTTTCACTACATCCTTCCCATAACAATTAAACCACTTAATCCTAAATTAAGAACAAAGCATAATCCTATAATCTTAGAGGGTGACGACTTGGAAGAATGAGGATGGGGGTCGAGCCCGGGGCTGGGGTTAGGGGCCGGGGCTAGGGGGNTATTTTACATAATATCAAATCTTGAGTAGAGGGAATTTCAGTTGAGCTGAGTAATTGAAGAGTGTGTGACTATGACATCTTGGGTTGCTGTTCGATCCCAGGAAAGACGACTTTTTCTTGACACTACATCCTTCCTTTTACAAACAAAACCACTTCATCTTGAACTTAGTACAAAGCATTGGACTACACACATCACAGGAGGTGTGTGTTTAAATGATGTATCAAAAGAAAGGTTCCCGACAAAACCTTTAATACAAACATATAGGTCAATTCACTTCCCTAAAACAAGGGCTTTTAAGTGGAATGTGTTATGTACTTGTATCATATGTTCAAAGTCCACCTTCAGCTGTCTAAACACATCTGTATATGGGTCAAGACTGAAAGCCATGGACTAATTTAAGTGTTTTGTAAAATCACTATAAATTAACAACAAGCTCAGAGATTCTCAGTAGCTGATTGGTCTAAAGGTGCATCTAGTAATTTCTTGGCTCTTGGCATATCTCGACAGCCTGACACAGTCCTGAGCATAAAAATTGCATTTGTGTGTGTCGCCGTGTTCTGCAAAATTTATGTTGAGAAATCAGCAAGTCCAATTGTAACAATCTCAGTCTAAATTAACGAATTTGACTATGTGACCTTGAAAGAGGCCAATGTCACTTATTTAAGGATACCTGATTGCCCTTAATTTCAGCATGCTACAGGCAAAATATCATGACCCTAAGCCTATTAGTTATTCTGGAGAAATAGCTTCAAGGATTTAACAATTTGACCCCTATGACCTTGAAATTGGGTCAAAGTCATTGATTTGCCAACATCCAATATGTATATATATGCTACTGGTAAAATATCATCCTAGGCCTATTGAAATGAGAATTGAATATTAGTGGAAATATCACTAATTACATGTATTTTGAATTTGTTTTCTCTGTATATATATATATTTAAGGTCGAATGAGTGTATTGATAAACGGAAATAGAAAATACATCCCTAGTTGAAAATCCAATGTAGGGAGACAGTATCACAATTTCCGCATATTCTAATGAGTCTAGAGTTGTGATGAATATTGTATGTTTATTATTGACAGAACAGTGTGTTCTCTCAATATTAAAGTATTTCAAAGCAATCCAGGCATTAATTCAGGTTTTTTTATCAATGACTCACTACACTGTCCATTTTTCTGTACTTCAGGAAACCGACTACCTATTTCACTACTGTGAAGTTTTTCAAGAAAGATAACTCTTACATGCAATTACTATGAGTCTGGTCATTCTGTAATTTAACCTCAAGAAAATTGCAACAGAATATTTTACGACTGTTTCCTTTTAATTGATTGTATTTGAGTTTGTATTAAAAAGTCTACCAAAATCAACCTTCGGGAAAATGGTTAATTCCCGCATCAAAAAAGATAAATACAAACGAGGAGAATATGGCACCCACGACCGCCGTACATCAGGAAGAGCTCGCAAAGGGAGATAATTTGTAGTGATCATGCTAGTGCCTTGGAAAATATTCGGAAACAAAACAACGATAACGGAGCCGTATTATTTCATGGTAAGTTGACAAATGCACATTTATTTAAAAATGTAATTTATAATGATGAAAATAATAGCAGTTGGCTTCCAATATACGTTTAACATGCCCATCAACCATAAATTGTGTAGCGTCGTCTGCTATGTAACTACGGCCGCACCAGCAGAGAACATGTGTGTTAAACACGACCGATAACCATATTCCTGTCTTTAATAAATTCATCCAACATTGTTACAATATTATTAGAAACATAATTATGTGAAAAATTATATCGAAAAGTGGAAAATCAATAAAAACTTTGGACCCTCCTTGATAAAATAGAAAATGTATGGAAGCCCATGAGTGACATGATGTATAATAATTTGCGTAATGCGTACGCAATTTGCAATTCATTAAATTCATTACGTTTTACAGCCAATCTTGACAATATTGATATCGAAACAAGTTACCTATTTCTAAAACACCCGATATTGACATTTCTCGTCTTGAGTGCATTAGTTTTACTGTTTAAAGTCACAAAATTAACTCTTTTAACCGACTTGTAACTTTTTTTTGTCTGTGAAATTGGTGAAAAACGGAACCAGGAAAATTCAGCAAATGCAGATGCTATTACTGAAATATATAGGAATTTAAACAATTTTACTCTCTTTTGGCACGATGCTGTAAGACATTTTTCTTCTTTCAGAATTACGGCTATACCAGTAAATATGGAAGAATGTGTTCTGTGTCATCATTCTCTCCAGGACGGACGGGATATAGCTGTGACCTTACGACAAAAAGGTAGTATAGGTATAAACGAAGCCAGCAAGGTACGTGGCGACTCCATACTTACTGTCCCAGGTCAACAAGTACACCAAGATTGTCGCAAGTCATATGTTAATCCAAAGTCTATGCACCTAAACCAAAAGAAATCTCAGGATAAAGATACGGATTCCTTATTAGCATCAAAAAGCAGTCTTCGTTCGAGTTCCCTTTTTGATTTTCAACAACACTGTCTTTTCTGTGGTCAATCTGCAAGATTGTCTGGAAACAAAAGAGGCCCTGACGTATTTCCAGTTCGAACTTCAGATTTTGATTGCACAATTTTGGATATTTGCACAGACCGCAATGATGATTGGGCTGCTGAGGTGAAGGGAAGGATAGAATATGCAGCTGATCTTTACGCTGCTGATGCATTGTATCATCAAAGTTGTAGTGTTAACTTCCGAACCTTCAGACAGGTACCCCAAGAATTTTCCCCACAAACAAAGAAACAGAGGACACCAGTTGGAAGACCATCAGCAAAAAGAGAAAGTTTTATATATGCAACAGAGTATTTGGTTCAGCATGACAATGAACAAATTACCATCATCGATCTGGTAAAGAAAATGGCAGAACATTGTGGGGAAGAAAATGCATATAGTGTGTCACATATGAAGGTTAAATTATTAGAACATTTTGGACCTCGGATTGTGATATCTGAAATTAATGGTAAATCAAATGTTGTGACTCTCCAATACACTGCTAGGTCTATTCTCCAGGATTATTATGAGAATCAGACAAAGAGTAACACTGAATCGGAGACAAAATTCATCATCATGACAGCAGCCAAACTTCTTAAAAAAGATATACGTGCAATGCAAGCATCTAAGGATTACTATACGGCGACTGAGGATTTGTCTTCTTTGGACAAAAATATCGACTTTGTTCCAGAATCTCTTCAGCTTCTGCTTAGGACATTGTTTTCAAAAGACTCTGAACTACGTGTAGCTTCCATTGGACAAGCACTTATACAAAGTAGTGCCCCAAAGCAGTGCATTTCGCCTCTACAAATCGGACTTGGTGTGCAATTACACCATCACTTTGCATCACGACTGCTGATAGATACATTATCAAAACTGGGATTTTGTTCTTCCTATACAGAAGTTCAGAAATTTGAATCATCAGCTGCGTTTGAGAAAGGCAAAGACCGTCCTATGACTGGCTTTGATCTTGAAGGATGTCTGCAATATGTAGCAGACAACGTTGACCATAATACAAGAACGCTTGATGGCAAAAATACATTTCATGGTATGGGCATTATAGCTGGAGTTACCCCTGGAATAACTGGTTCCATCAAAGTTCCAAGACGGGAAGTATCAGCTGAGGAATTGCGTGTCATGGGCAAAATCAACGTTAAACATTATGTTAAAAAACTATCTGAACATGGGTTTGCTGCATTGAAATATCAAGAACTTCGCAAGATGACTGTTGTAAATAAAGCAGAAATGATGGACATCTTACATAGTGTGGCTTGGCCTTTAAGAACACCTGCTCCAATCTGGTCTGGATTCATGCAAATGGTGAGCAAGGGCAATCATCCAGGACAATCGTCAATTGTGTTCCTTCCTATGATAGATATGGATCCTACAAACATGTCATGCATCTACTCAACCATACACTTTGTCACTTCAGAGGCTATACGTTATGGGACAACTCCAGTCTTGACCTTCGACCAGCCCCTTTTTTGGAAAGCAATGGAGATTGTTTGTAACGAACTTCCTGGAAGTGATATAGCTGATGTAGTTCTACGTCTGGGAGGTTTTCACACAGAGATGAGCTTTCTGGGAAGCATAGGTCGTATCATGAGTGGGACAGGACTACAGGATGCGTTAGAAACTATATTTGCTCCGAATGCCGTCAGTCATATGCTCAGCGGGAAAGCAGTAGCCAGGGCTGTGAGGGGATTTATGCTGGTGGATTTGGCTTTACAGTCTCTACTTGTAGAACAGATGTTTCAGGCACAGTGTGAATTCAACGAAGAGTGTACAGAATATCCAGAACTCCTCCAAAGTGTTCTTGCCCTTTATGATAACTTGATGAGTGAGCACTACAACAGCAGTGAATCAATTGAATCAAATGAATCTCTGACTGAAATTTCTACCATGATGTCAGATTTGAAAGAGCAGCTTCAGAGGTCAAGGACATCTTCTCTGTGGATCACTTTCTGTGAAATGATGGCGATTCTTCGACGATTTCTAAAGGCTGAACGGACCGGAAATTGGGACTTACATTTACAGACAACTCGGGAAATGTTACTATACTTTGCAGCATCTGGACACAACCTGTATACAAAATCTGCGTATATTTACCTCTCCAACATGCAAAATCTTGAATCGGAACACCCAGATGTTTATCAACACTTTCAGGATGGTCATCACGTTCTACGACGTAGCAACCGTTATTGGGCTGGTCTCTCTACTGATCTTGCGATTGAACAAGTACTGATGAAAAACATAAAATCTTGTGGGGGTTTGACTAGAGGACGGGGAATGGATGAAGCCCAGAGAGCCCAGTGGGTGTTATCTATGCCGGCGTGTGCAGAGTACAATTCAGCAATGCAAAACATCACTGGAGTGATCACTCGGTCAGATGATCAGCACAAGGAAATGTCAAAAGGCCGGATGGCGAGAGATTTCAAGGACACCCAGACTATCATTGACTTCCTCAAAGAAAGAAATCCATTTGCAGAAGATCTTTCTTTACGAAATATCGTCACTGGAGAGGTTGCAGATGATACAGCAAATGCAGACAAAGCGTTAGAAATTGGGCAGAAGATCCTGAAGAAGATGGTGGACCAACCTGTTACTGAATTTTCCTTCAAAAGATCAGAACAAGTAATCACAGTTGGAACAAAACCCAATTCGAAATCTGGATTTGATCATGATCATATTGATGTGGATCCCCAATTGATGTTCCAGCGTCTTATAACAGCTGCAAATGGTCTGTTTGAGAACACGTCAGATGTTTTCAAGCATGAATTATCCAGTTTCCCATCATCGTTATTTGACAACAACGGATTGCCACAAGAGAGTTGCAAGTCACCACCCTTGATGAAAACGTGCAGCATGTGATAGATGGAGGCTCCCTTTTACAAAGAATACCCTGGCGATCTGAGTCAACTTTCAAAGACATATGTCAAGTATACGTAACACATATCAACGCCAGGTGTACTGACCCTGTCATAGTTTTTGACAGCTATCCAGACCACCCAGTCACAAAGGACATTACACACATGCGTCGGTCTAAAGGAATCGTGTCACCCAACGTCAATTTTGCGGAAAATATGCCATTCAAATCCAAGAAGGAAGCTTTCTTGGGGAATCCTGTCAACAAACAAAAGTTCATAGATATGTTGTCATCAAAGTTGTCTGAAAGTGGTGTAAGATGTCTGAAGGCTGTCGATGATGCCGATCTCTTGATTGCACAGTCAGCGGTGAACTTCTCAAAAGAACAGAAAACAGCAGTAATTGGAGAAGATACAGATTTGCTAGTACTGCTCTGCCATCATGCAGACCCGAATCAATACCCTATAATTTTCAAGTCCGATAAGCAAGTAGGAAGAAAACTAAAAATTTGGGATATTAGCAAAACCATCAAATCTCTCGGAGAAGACATTTGCAATCTGCTGCCGTTTATTCATGCAATAACCGGCTGTGACACAACCTCGAGACTGTTTGGTATCGGGAAGAACATTGGATTAAAGAAATGTAAAGAAAATGCATATTTCATGGAACAAGGGAAAACTTTCATTCACAGTTCTTCTTCTAAAGATGAGGTCATTAAGGCGGGTGCAGAATGCATTGTACAAATGTATGGAGGATTACAGCACGAGGGACTTGATATTCTACGCTGGAGGAAATTTACTTCAAAAGTGGTATCAGGACACGTTGGCGTCCAAATTAAAACTCTGCCTCCAACCTCTGATGCGGCAAAATACCACAGCTTGAGAACTTATCTGCAGTGTCAGCAATGGATAAACAATGGACAGAATCTTGATCCTACAGAATGGGGGTGGTATATTCAAAACGGTAAACTGTTTCCAGTCAAGTCGTCAATTGCACCAGCACCCGAACAGTTAATGAAAATGATTAAATGCAACTGCAAGCTTAACTGCGATACAAAACGGTGCACCTGTCGTAGAAACGGACTAGAGTGCTCAGCTGCCTGTGGGGAATGTAGGGGAATAAACTGCACTAATTCGAATCCTGTGACCGCAGAAGACTTGGGCGAGGATTAGAATAATGCCCTGTGAAATATTGTGAGTAGTACAAAACAGTACGAGGACAAGTACAATTGCATTAGTCCAATGGACGATTTTGGAAACTTATTAACATCATTTTAAAAATGTCCTCAAAATGCAAATGAGTGGCTGCCATGTTGGTTTCCCTGTCTATGGTCAACAAGCGAAGAAATATAATTAATTCCGTCCTTTATAATATTACACATTTCACAATAATACTTACATTAAGATTTTATTTGATAAACATTCTATTCATACTGTTTTTTGAAAAACAAAGAACATGAATTACCTTAGAACTTTGACTGCAAACCTTGAACTGAGCCATGTTGGCGTCAGTTTGAACAACACCAGGATGACGTCATAATTGAATATCGTTATTGGCGCCAAAGTATTGAAGGACACTTGACTTATCAAAATAATCTATTGTCTTTGGAATTATACACACACACAATTAGGTGATTTTTTCCACAATTAGTACATTTAGTTCTTAAAATGATATATGAAGTGTGATTATCTTACATTTTAATATAATATGTATGACTTATTATTCCAATAATTGAAAATCTATGGCAACATTTAACTTCTCGGCCACTCTTCATATATGTCCTCTATTTGACCTTGAACTATTATAATGAATTAAATTGTCCCTGTGATACTTTTATAAAGTAAATAAAAGTTGTATATCCAGATTGTTCTTTAATTTATTTATATTAAAAAGAAAACTATAATAAATTTGAATCTCTTCCTTCCTACAAATATCCCAAAATACGAAAATACGAATTATATAGGCATATATCTTGTGACCTTGAGAAAGGTCATTTCCATGAGTTGATTTTGGTAGACTTTTTTTCCCTGAAAGCTGACATGCTACCAAATAACATAAAGTATGAATTAATTCTGTTGCAATTTTCTTGAGGTTGGCCCTTTATTTCGACCAAAATGACCAGACTATATGTGTATTATGGTTTTATTATAAAATGTTAATTTTTAATCGTTTACAGATAATTTATTTTACTCAATATCAGAATTTATCAAATTGATATACATTAATGCAATACTAATCTATGGCAGTATCACTTTTATTGACATTATTTTGCAAAACATTGCGTCTTTCATTTTTTTTTCTTCAAAATTCAATCCTTTTTACATAAATTTCCATTTAATATTCTTAAAATTCTGACAACCTGTATTTTTTTGTGGCAGGAAATTTTCTTTACTTCAAAGCAATATAACTACAAAATCTGAAGAAATTCTACTGAGAAATGGTTACACAAACTTATTACCTTAATAACAATGGTAATTTAAACAAAGTAGAATCATAAGGCTAAATGCATGGAAGTAATGTGATAGATTTACTTTAAAATGCTAATAGTTATATAGATTGTATATCCTGTGTAAACCTCCCTTAAGTTCTTAAAACTAACCATAAATGATTAATCTCCGATATTGGTCCTGACAAAGTCAGAAGAGGCTAAACAATGACATAAATTTCTCATTTATCCAGAGAAACAGAGAAAAAAAACTCACTACTGTATAACACAAAATGTTCATGGGTACTTTTCTTCATGGTTTGAAGCCATTTAGATCGTTTCGTGGTACAAATTTCCATGGATATCCTATATTAACAAACAGTAGACACGTATATCATTCATATTTGTTGTATTAATTTTCATGGTTCAATAGCAACTATGAAAACCATGAATGCACATTTCATGTTAAACAGTAGTCTTGACTTTATCTCACTAAAAAAATCACTGATCTCTCTAGTTTGCACCAGAAAGTTATGGCATGTATATTATTTATATACTAAAAGATTGATGACAAATATGTTATCCAGCTTCTTTACTTACATTCTTTTCATCATTTAAAGCATTACGTAGTCTGGTTACTGATGGGCAATCGGTTTAAAATCATAAAAAATAGTTGGTTTGTAATCGGAAGTAGTGAACCGATCAATGATCGATCGCATATTCAATTTATAAATTTATGGGACTGAACACCCAAATAAAGTGAGAACAATACTTTTACATCAATAGACAGAGTTGTTAACTACACATTAGGTTTCGTTCTTTTATTTATATAATGTATGCATATCAACCAACTTTTATGCATTTTTATCAATCATATAGTACATGAATAAATCATAAGAATATATGACTTTCAAAGCATACTTAACGTGGAAGTCATTTAAAAACTGATGAACCAATTATATCGATTATGGAACTTGTAATCGATAATCGGAATCGGAAAGCACAAACCGATCGATTTTCCAATATAATCGATCATTAGCCCATCACTAAGTCTGGTCACTTTGAATATTGTCAAAAAATTGGTTTTCCTTTTTGCAATTATTGCCCTTAGCTTCTTCTTTATAGTTTCACCAGACCTTCTTGGCATAGAAGATGGCCCTGATGGTAACTGTAAACTGACCTGTCAAATTAGTCTCATCACCGGTCATAAATAGTAATCAATGAACGTTCGTTATCAAGATTTGACCATCACATTTCAGTACACAAACGGAAAAGGCTAACAATACACAAAATCACAGGGATGTTGCTTACTCGTTTATCTTGTAAGTCTGTGATAAAGCTGCAATAAAAACTTGCTGGCTTTTTGTGATTTTTAATTTCTATATCAGAACAACAAATATATTGTTAAGTGTATATATCCTTTGTGTAAAAGAGAAAGCAGTACTTGTCAACTCTCCCTATTGAGGAGGGAGACCCTCGATTTTGAACGTTAAAATTGAGCATTTCTCAATCTTTGAATTTGCTAAACTATTCTTATTTCCTAAGATCTGATGATTTCATATCAAAGAACAACTCAGTTCCATTTTAAAGTGTTTTTCCCCCCTGTGGTGTACATAGTCTACACACCTTTTATTTAACCTTTTAATTCCTAATATGCGTAATTTCCCCGATGGAAAATTACAAAAGTTGGTACTGAAGGATGAGAAAGTTTATACCCTCTGTCAGTCAGTCAATACACCCATAATATAATTCTTATGTGTGACAGATGAGGCTAGTAGTTCTACCTACCTACACAATTATCAAATCTGGTCAACTGAAATGTAAGATTCACCATTTAATTATATATAAACTGACAGAACTACAGTAACCCTGTTACATGAACACATGCACACAGGAACAGGTCTGTTTCGTTTTAAAAATAGAAGGCCTACTAAATTTGTAGTACAGGTGAACTATAACTTTTCAAAATCATTCAAGCGTAAAATTAGGCCTAACAAATGCAGGTGATCAACGTAAGTTACACCTGTGAAACACATGTACTAGGCAGCTTCGTCTATCAGTATGTATATGTAGCTATGCCCAAGCTAAGGGGAGATAACTCCAATTGAATTTTNATATGGGTGTTATTGACAGACGAAGGCTAAGTAGGGCAGTAGAATTAAAGAGCTAAGCTAAGACCATATATTAATCGTGGTGGTCAGTTATCTTTTTATGAGTCATTATACAGCCACACCACAGACTAATTAAACACTCGTCATATATATAAGTCTTAGAAACGTACCATCAAATCTTTCTCCAACCTCCACAAGGCCTACTCGACTTTAGTCCATCTTTGCCAAGTTTGGGGATTTCCAACGCGTCAGGCCGGTCATCAATGATAATGCTGCTCCTGATGATGCTTATGACAAGCTTCAGCGTTGTTTAGTCCTATATTATAATAACATCTTCATTATTTAACACCAATGGCAACGATGACAATGAAACAGTCCAGCTTTATTAAATAACTTCCTGATGCCGAAGTGAAACACAAAAATGAAATCGTAATCGTTGGGAAGTTTAACATTACACAATATACACGACAAGCGTCTTAAAGATCTGCTATGCACATGAGCACGGCAGATATCACGTGCGCCTCACATGTGTATGTTTTCTGGCCTACTAGCCTACTATAATCGATTCTAATCTACTCTTCCTGTAACAACAGTCACACACTTGACCAGAACGTTGGAACATATTTGAAAATTGTATGCAGATAATAAAGCTCATACTGTTGTTATTACTCCCCTCTGTGTTAAAATAAACGATTTTCGCTCTTTATGGTGCTATGGAAGCTTGGTGAAAAGTCGGATATTATTTTCAGCTACATAGATCGGCAACAATATCTGACGCCAAATGATAGCCGGACCAGAGGTAAAAACCGCTTCTACCAAGAAAGGGCTACAACAGACGCCTTCGGCCAATCATTCTTCCCAAGGACCATCAGGGACTGGAACCAACTACCAACATCAGCGACATCAGCCAACACAGTTGAAGGATTCAGAGCTGCCCTGAAGGCATGCTCTGCTAAAATCTAGACAGTAACATCCTGTACAAATTTTAATTGTATACATATAGAGAACGTTTTAATGTAAATAGCCAAGAGAATACTTTCTGTGTTGTCCGACACTGCGCAAAGTTCTCGCGGAACCAAACACATTCATTTGTTGAATTCGGTTCCTTACCTGGAAGAAGAAGATGTGTAGGCCCTATAGTCAGTCTAAGAGTCTAACTTTGTGTCATTATTTGTCAATATTGCCTTGAACATATTTGTGGTAGTTAACCATACGCTAAAATCACGCTATGCATGTCCACTGCCGTTCAGTCCCTATATTTATATTCTATTTTTTTATTTATTTTTTATTAACCTAAATATGACCTAAATACAGACGTTCCCTTACATTTTCGATATCAACGTGTCTGTCGTCAGTGCAAACGAGATTCCTGGAACGGCGGCCTAATTTTACAGTTGTCTCGTGTAACTTGAAATGAACGCAATTTCTTCTGGTAGGACTAACGGTGTTTGTAGGGGAACTTGCACTGAATGTAAGGTTTAAACAGAGACATATGAGTAGTAGTATGTACGTCTCTAGTTTAAATAACGATTCTTTGACGACAGATTACAAGTTTAAATCAATCTTATTTTGAACAAAAAAAACACCAGAATGCATTGTAATAGATCTATATAGATATAGGTATCTACATGTAGCAGTGTCTTCGGCATTTTATAATCTAATCAAGGAACTATATACTAGTATATATAAATACGTCAATACAAAAACAAAAACAAAGAATATTATAAGCTGTTGACGTGACAAGTACGTGCCAAGTTGTTTTAATTACTGCCTGCTGTGATTTATTTTTTTTATTTTTTTGTGTGTGTGTATAAACCTTGATATATGCCTGTTGTTTTCTGCATGTTGTCTTATATATCCTGTTTTTATACCTTTGTTTGTCGTAATAATAGCGCTACAGAGCGTTTGTTTCCATTACAACATATACGACTCGAAATAAAAACAAATCTTGTATCTTGTAAGGAATCTAAGTCAATGGTCAGATTAACAAGTATCCCCATTAAATCTCAGACATTTCGCGCTACCTTCATTCCTACTTCCATACGCTTGGTTGTTCTCCCTTGTATTTGGTAGGACCCTATTCCTTGTTTGGGATTAGCGAGTTAGCTCCACTAAATCCCTCTTCCTATATTTCGGAGTACCGGAACTATGTTTGCTAGCTTGTTTCTTACTCATTATATTACTTTACATTTGGATTTTTCACCTAGTAGTAACACTCTGGCTCAAACTTCATTCACATGTTCTATTATGTATGTTAATAATCAGACCGTACTAAAAGGAGTTCCCAGAACGCGGGAGATTGCTTGTACGTAGGGTTTAGTAGAATCTGAGACGTGGTAGATTTTTTTCCAGTGAACCCCTCTACAGGCGCCATGCACCTCGGACCCTCTATAAGTATACACTCCGAAAACTGATTTGCTATGCCACTGAACGTGCACAACCTTTCCCCGACCCCGACCCCGACATGTATGAATATTTTAACTCAGACAAGAAATCTATCACAAAAATATGCTTCACAACAAGTTCCTCTCAAACCGCACCAAACACAACTGGGAAAAATATAGAACACAGAGAAACAAAGTCACCAAACTCAGAAAACAATCAATAAAACACTACTTTATAGACAGATGTACAGGGGCTGAAACAACCAAAATTTTTGGAAAACAATAAAACCATGTATAACAAACGAAGGCTGCTAGAACAGGGTAGGATAGTCAACAAACAAAACGATTTAGCCAACATTTTTAATAAAAAAAAATCGTAAATGTGGCAAAGAATATTGGATCAAACAGCCTACCCATAAAAGATGAACACCCTAGCCTGCAGGCAATCACCAAAAGCAGACAACAAGATCAACACTTCACATTTAAACCTGTAGACGAAGATTTCATAAACAAACAGTTCAACAAAATAAACCCTAGAAAAGCAACAGGACACGACAATATTTCACCCAAACTACTACGACTAGCACAACCCAGCATTATCAAACCAGTCACCACACTTGTAAATCTTTCTCTCACTACATCAACATTTCCAGACACACTAAAAACAGCAAAAGTCAGACCAATACACAAAAAGAACAGCACCCTTGAGAAAGGAAATTACAGACCGGTAAGTATACTCCCGGCACTCTCCAAAGTCTTTGAGAGATCCATACACTCCCAACTCAGTGACTTCTTTGATGGTGTTTTTCATCCCTACCACTCTGCATTCAAAGCTGGATGTGGATGTCAGACAGTATTATTGCGAGTGATAGAGGATTGGAAAATGGCACTTGACCAGAACAAATATGTAGGCTGCATACTTATGGATCTCTCAAAGGCTTTTGACTGTCTGCCTCACAACCTCCTTCTGCTAAAACTATAAAATTATGGACTTTCTATTTCGGCTTCAGAACTATTGTCAAATTACCTCAAAAACAGAAAACAAAATGTCAAATTAGGAAATTAGGAAAGTACTTTTCAGGAACTGTATAAAGGAGCCCCCCAGGGATCAGTTTTGGGCCAATTCTGTTCAAAATTTTCATAAACCACATTTTCCACACCATACAACATTGTGAACTTTACAACTACGCTGATGACAATACAATTAGTAAAGCACACACCTCACTGACCACAGTCAAAACCTCACTACAAACAGACTGCAATTCACTCATTCACTGGTTCGCAAACAATCATATGCAAGCAAACCCAGACAAATTTTAAGCCATGGCCATAGGAAACAAAGCACAAAATGAAAACATTACTTTCAACAACTCAATAAAATGTGAACACGAAGTAAAATTACCAGGGGTCACCATAGACTTCCAGTTAAATTTTCATAAACATGTATCCAACATCTGCAAGAGATTTGGCAAACTTACAATATATCATTCATTTATTCTCTCAAATTTTAATTTCTGTCCACTTACATGGCACTTTTGCGGTGAGACAAACACACAAAAAATGGAAAAAAAATCCAAGAAAGGGCTTTAAAATTTATTTACGATGAACACGAAAATACATATGAAAATTTACTAGCCCGTTCAAATTTACCATCACTCAAAACCTTTAATACAAACATATAGGTCAATTCACTTCCCTAAAACAAGGGCTTTTAAGTGGAATGTGTTATGTACTTGTATCATATGTTCAAAGTCCACCTTCAGCTTTCTAAACACATCTGTATATGGGTCAAGACTGAAAGCCATGTACTAATTTAAGTGTTTTGTAAAATCACTATAAATTAACAACAAGCTCAGAGATTCTCAGTAGCTGATTGGTCTAAAGGTGCATCTAGTAATTTCTTGGCTCTTGGCATATCTCGACAGCCTGACACAGTCCTGAGCATAAAAATTGCATTTGTGTGTGTCGCCGTGTTCTGCAAAATTTATGTTGAGAAATCAGCAAGTCCAATTGTAACAATCTCAGTCTAAATTAACGAATTTGACTATGTGACCTTGAAAGAGGCCAATGTCACTTATTTAAGGATACCTGATTGCCCTTAATTTCAGCATGCTACAGGCAAAATATCATGACCCTAAGCCTATTAGTTATTCTGGAGAAATAGCTTCAAGGATTTAACAATTTGACCCCTATGACCTTGAAATTGGGTCAAAGTCATTGATTTGCCAACATCCAATATGTATATATATGCTACTGGTAAAATATCATCCTAGGCCTATTGAAATGAGAATTGAATATTAGTGGAAATATCACTAATTACATGTATTTTGAATTTGTTTTCTCTGTATATATATATATTTAAGGTCGAATGAGTGTATTGATAAACGGAAATAGAAAATACATCCCTAGTTGAAAATCCAATGTAGGGAGACAGTATCACAATTTCCGCATATTCTAATGAGTCTAGAGTTGTGATGAATATTGTATGTTTATTATTGACAGAACAGTGTGTTCTCTCAATATTAAAGTATTTCAAAGCAATCCAGGCATTAATTCAGGTTTTTTTATCAATGACTCACTACACTGTCCATTTTTCTGTACTTCAGGAAACCGACTACCTATTTCACTACTGTGAAGTTTTTCAAGAAAGATAACTCTTACATGCAATTACTATGAGTCTGGTCATTCTGTAATTTAACCTCAAGAAAATTGCAACAGAATATTTTACGACTGTTTCCTTTTAATTGATTGTATTTGAGTTTGTATTAAAAAGTCTACCAAAATCAACCTTCGGGAAAATGGTTAATTCCCGCATCAAAAAAGATAAATACAAACGAGGAGAATATGGCACCCACGACCGCCGTACATCAGGAAGAGCTCGCAAAGGGAGATAATTTGTAGTGATCATGCTAGTGCCTTGGAAAATATTCGGAAACAAAACAACGATAACGGAGCCGTATTATTTCATGGTAAGTTGACAAATGCACATTTATTNTGACAAATATGTTATCCAGCTTCTTTACTTACATTCTTTTCATCATTTAAAGCATTACGTAGTCTGGTTACTGATGGGCAATCGGTTTAAAATCATAAAAAATAGTTGGTTTGTAATCGGAAGTAGTGAACCGATCAATGATCGATCGCATATTCAATTTATAAATTTATGGGACTGAACACCCAAATAAAGTGAGAACAATACTTTTACATCAATAGACAGAGTTGTTAACTACACATTAGGTTTCGTTCTTTTATTTATATAATGTATGCATATCAACCAACTTTTATGCATTTTTATCAATCATATAGTACATGAATAAATCATAAGAATATATGACTTTCAAAGCATACTTAACGTGGAAGTCATTTAAAAACTGATGAACCAATTATATCGATTATGGAACTTGTAATCGATAATCGGAATCGGAAAGCACAAACCGATCGATTTTCCAATATAATCGATCATTAGCCCATCACTAAGTCTGGTCACTTTGAATATTGTCAAAAAATTGGTTTTCCTTTTTGCAATTATTGCCCTTAGCTTCTTCTTTATAGTTTCACCAGACCTTCTTGGCATAGAAGATGGCCCTGATGGTAACTGTAAACTGACCTGTCAAATTAGTCTCATCACCGGTCATAAATAGTAATCAATGAACGTTCGTTATCAAGATTTGACCATCACATTTCAGTACACAAACGGAAAAGGCTAACAATACACAAAATCACAGGGATGTTGCTTACTCGTTTATCTTGTAAGTCTGTGATAAAGCTGCAATAAAAACTTGCTGGCTTTTTGTGATTTTTAATTTCTATATCAGAACAACAAATATATTGTTAAGTGTATATATCCTTTGTGTAAAAGAGAAAGCAGTACTTGTCAACTCTCCCTATTGAGGAGGGAGACCCTCGATTTTGAACGTTAAAATTGAGCATTTCTCAATCTTTGAATTTGCTAAACTATTCTTATTTCCTAAGATCTGATGATTTCATATCAAAGAACAACTCAGTTCCATTTTAAAGTGTTTTTCCCCCCTGTGGTGTACATAGTCTACACACCTTTTATTTAACCTTTTAATTCCTAATATGCGTAATTTCCCCCATGGAAAATTACAAAAGTTGGTACTGAAGGATGAGAAAGTTATACCCTCTGTCAGTCAGTCAATACACCCATAATATAATTCTTATGTGTGACAGATGAGGCTAGTAGTTCTACCTACCTACACAATTATCAAATCTGGTCAACTAATAAACAGCTGGTATGGGCCAAAATGCAAATGCAACACGTGCTGACAAAACACATAGGCTCACAATACAGTTTTATCAGAGACCTAAAGTTAATTTAGGTCTATGGTTTTATACATGTTTTCACCTCTCTATTAGATAGTGCTGCCAAATATTTATTATGTAACTGTACATGTCATTTTATGTGTCGGTTTCAATAGCTCATTAGAGCTAATGTTATATTGTTTTAACCATACCGACGTTAAATAAAACTTTTGATTTGATTTGATGTATAGATTGCCATTTGGGTTTCCCGCCTTTTTCTGTATTACTGATCACACAAACGCTTCCATGTTGATGTAAGCTTGCGAACAACACGGATTGTAACAAAATATATTAGGTCAAAAGAAGACACCTTGCTGTCTTCGGAATTTGTCTTTCAAGATTGGAGACGTAAACACGCACACATATAAATGTACCAAGTAAGTATGAGATAGAGCAATGGGGGGAAAATATATGAATCATTATGATATGCAAAAAACGTAAAATTTGTCGGCTAACATTGAATTTAGCCTGCATGTAGTAGCGTCTCGATCTATTTATAGATTTTCTCAGGATATCTTAATTAATGTTCTGTTGTTTTCATTCGTATTTGTGCATATTTAACTACTGTATTTGATCCAGTCTGAATTTTGATATGTATTTTCGATATCCATGTAAAAAGTACCTGATTTCTTTGTTGCATTTCAGTTGCTTTTCAGATGACTAGCCCCGGGGTAAAAAATGGACGAACTTAGGGTGTGACTTTTTCATTTCTGGTTCATAAAAATCAACGTTTTAGTTTTCAAAACGGAAAGACGATTAAGGACTAAATCAACATGTTATTAGCTTGTTAAAGATTATAGTAAAATGTTAAATATAGAACGAAAGACATTATATTAGATGATGAGGTCATGTTCCACATATAAACTAATCATCATTTATAATCTACTTTCACTTTAACTGTTTCAGTGAGAAATTATTTGTTATTTTTTTAAATTTTTAATTCAGTCCATGAGAAACACTCGAGGGATAGGCAGATAAAGTTTGTTTCAAATTGCTTAAAACTAGATAGATTTCTGTTTAGAGTAGGTACTATGAGGGAGGAGGCATATATTTGCGTTGCAAAATAAATTGACAACTATTCCAAAATAAAAAAGGTTGCATCATATTTATGAAAAGTGTTCCATTTTGGGGATTTTTGGGTACCCTCATTTAATGCTTATCCATATTTATTTAAAAAATAGTTTGCTATTTTATGTACATGTTTTATGTATGTAGTTCAATATTACTGCAAAATATTTTTTGAAAATATTCTAGTGAAAAATATTATTCCAATTAGCTGTGTGTTACTTTTTATGAAAATTTACTGCAGGCATTTGGCCTCTTTGTCCAAATATATCGTAACAATAATGAATATATATGCACAATTGTTATAAAACACTTGAGTATATTATGATTGTAGTACCGGCACATGACATACACCACATTCGTTTTGTTTGCACAGTGAAGAAACCATATTTCCTCATCTTTTTTGAAAATCTATTAGGATATTTAAATTATTTAATAAATACTGTTTTGAGATGTTCCTTAGCTTTGTGGATATTTACAAAGTCTACTCCTTCATTTTATACATGTATACATTTACAAAAGGGAACAGGTACTCCAGTCATTTAGATAAAATTGATGTATTTATATGTTGAACTCCATTATTAGCTCACCTGGCACGAAGTGCCAAGTGAGCTTATGCCGTGGTGCGGCGTCCGGCGTCAATATTTTACTTTAAACGACTTCTTCTTAATAACCAAAAGGCCTAGGGTGATGATATTTGGCCAGAAGCAAACTGGGATGAAGGGCTACAAAGTTTGTTAAAATTAATGACCTTCAGCCATTTTCAAGGTCACAGGGGTCAAATATGTGAAAAACTTTAAACATCTTCTTCTCGATAACCAAACTGCCCAGGGAGATGATATTTGGCCAGTAGCATGCTTGGGTGAAGGGCTACCAAGTTTGTTCAAATAAATGACCTTCAATTATATTCAAGGTCACAGGGGTCAATT